TAAACAGCAATACCCACATCTTTCAACAGGCGAGGTAGTGTGAATGGAAACTATACAGGGACTTGTGAATTTTCATTCTCCCATGAATAACTTGCTTGTAGAGCTGTAGCCAGGGGTGATTTTGATGATTAGTGTTACTGAAGTTTTGGTGATAGCAAGAGGAACAAAAACCTCTAATGTAATCACAAGTTGATCACAAGACAGTAGTACTTCATCCTAATGGGAAGGAGATGAAGAAAAAGACAAGAAGGGAGAGAGTGGATAGAATTTGGAAGCTGAGCCAGAGGAGTTAGTCTGAACTGTGCCAACATAAGTATCAATTATGTGTACCTGATGCTTCCAAAATTCTTTTCTTCTTTTTTTTTTTTTAAGTTACTATTGTGCAATTCTTTGTAAACAAAAAATACAAAGTCATTTTTGTCCTAAAAATCTAAGAATATCATCTGGTAAGTTATTTTTTATGTGCTGAAGGATCGTGGTAAGATCCTCAGAACATTGAAACTTAGCCACAGTTGTTTTCCTATCCAGAATTTATTATCCTCCTTCTCAGGCCATCAACCTTCTGTTTTTTGGGAGAAGGTAAAAATAACCTCCACATCATGATCTGAAATCTCTGAGAAGTTATTTATAAAGTTATTTATAATTTTTTTTTTTTTAAAAAGCTTTTCTACTGAGATCTGTATCCTTTAACATCTTTAGGACAATTAAGAGAAGTTGCTTTACTATTTCCCCTAAATCTCTTTAACAGAAATCAGTTAATCATTTAGCAATTATGAAATCATTATTTATTTAATTATTTCAGTTTTTTTGTGAGCAGCCATGCTCAACTACTGAGAACACATTAAGGTATTATCTTATGTAAGTAATGAGTCTGAGGTGATTAATGGATCTGAGAAAAAAGACTGGAGCTGTATTTTATTTGTGAATAAAGGAGGAACAACTTTAGCTAAAAATCTAGGTGTATTGAAGTTGATAAGAATTTAGCATTTGCCTCATATGTCTGTGATTTTGTTTTGTTACTTAAGGAATAGATTTAGGTACTAACCTGTTAAAGCCAGTGTTTTCCATTTCATGCTTATAGACAAAAAGTCACTTTAATTTGAATTAGTTCCAGCCAGGTGTATAATATAGTTCAGATAAAGACAATCCATTTCTGATTCAAAACAGTAATAGTTAAATACTAGTGGAATTCTGAATTAGAAAGCATCATGTAGACATGTGGAAAAATCTATCCTTCATCTTGCCCTGAAATGAAAATAATAAACATGATACTTTCCTTCCCACTACTTTACTTCACACACATCCCGCACACGTTTACTGTGACCAAACTGCAGAGGAGGTAGGGTTGGAAGTCAGGGTGGTAGGAGGTGCTACGGCAGCTTCCTGGGCTATTGAGGACCTAAGACCTGGGATGCTTCTGTTGTGGTGGTGGCTTTTGCCAAGGAGGAGTAATAGTTGCCCTCAACAAGGGAGGAACTGCGTACAGGTAAGCACTGGCTTTTTCAATGCTATTCTCCCGTGTAAAATAGTTTCTGCACTGTTGTGCTGCAGGTGCTTCATTCCTTAGGCTCTACAGCATCCTGGGATGTTGTTTCAGGAAAACTGGTAATGTTCTGAAATACTAAAACCGGTTTAGTAGGATCACTCTACTTTCCCATTTCCCTTTTCTCTATCCCTCCCCCTTTTCACTCCTGAAAGGAAAAATTATATCGTCTTTTTATAAATTTGGGTAGTTTTTGTCTTTTGTTTTCACATTCGTGATGTTCTTCTGATTTGTTAATAAATCCTAGCTAGTTAAAAACAAAATTTTTGCAGTAACATCCCATTTTAACTATATTACCTGGTAAGTGCTTTTGAACACGTAATTTATCAGTGACATATAGATTTGCACCAGCTGCTCACTGAGAAGTCAGTTCTTTAGGTACTGAGGAAATAACCAGTTTCAGCTCGCTTCTGGTAAAATGTGTTAACGAGACAAAATATATTTCTTTAGCTAAAATGTTCATTTCTGTGTATGTCTGTATGGACATCTATTTCAGATGTCTGTAGCAATTGCACGGAACACTTGTGGAGTATTTGAGGACAGCTTTACCCAAACATTACGTTTGTGTTGTTGTTATTAACTGATTGATTACTTACTTCTATCTACCTGTATCTGACATGCAGGACAGCTTAGTAGTACTTAAGTTAGCTGGAGTGATGGCATTAAATTATTGATTCTTTTAGATTAATAATTATTAACTTCTTTATAATTAATTTCTTATGATTACATAATTTTTACTCCCAAGTTCATTTAGGGACTGATAATACATTCAAGAGAACACTTCAGTACAGATGGATGGTATAAATAGTACGAGTGTACAATTCCAAAAAATGATACTATTTAATTACACTATTAAGTGTATACTTATTGTGTATTGTCTGAGTCCTAAAATATAGCTACTATAAATATTAAACTGAGTAAATGTAACTAAGATTAAAAAAAAAAAACTGATCTTAAGACTGTTAAAAGGTGCTATGGTAAAACTAGGGAATGAATGGACAGATTAAAATATCCTACGTCACGTCATTTACAGATGTTATTTCCTTTCATCTGTTTAAAACCATAGTCAGGAGATTCTTTTGGATGTCTATGAGAAAATTCTTTAGAATTAACCAGATTTATTTTAAGGTTATTCTTATTCTTTTCTGGATTTTTCAAAAGTAGTGAACAGCTGAACATTTAACATGTAATATTCTTGTACTGTTTTGTACGGAGGAATATTTTTTATTCTTTCATAGTTAATATAAATTTAAAAAAGGAAAAGAATAGGTAAGGTAAGTTAATATAAAGCCTTGACCCCTTAACTTTCCTATTCATCCTCTTCACCTCTGGTCATTTAACTAGATGCTTTTTTCGTGGTGTCCAACTTTACTCAGTGATATAAGATGATACTATGATAATATGACTTCAGTGGACAAAGCACAGTGCTAGCAGAAATACTAGCAACTGGTATTCTGGTGGCAGTGTTGTGCGTTTACTTACTTGCTTATTTTTCTAACACTTATATGCCTAAAACCTAACATTTTTAGCTAGGAGGAGGTATTTGTTTCAGGAAGAGTGATGCTGGCTAGTACCTGAACCTGAAGAAGTGTTTGCGTTTATTTTGCAGTACCACTAGAATCAGCAGCTACAGCACTGAAGAAGGCTTTCCTAAAATAAATCACAAAAACATATATTGATAGATAGCTCCCTATTTGTGCTTTGCTTTTATGTTTTCGTACTCTTGCCTGCCTTTGAGTAGGAGATTGCTGTATGTTGCTGTAACTGTGCGTGAACTGTTAGTAAAATCACATGCCAGGAATGCCTGTCTGCAATCGATTAATATATTTGAAGACTAYTTTGTACTGAATCTTATATTTAGATAAGACAAAAGAGGGAAAATGTTGAATAAGCAGTAATGTTATCTTTATTTTGTGTGTTGTGAAACCGAGGAACTATTCTGCAAATTGATCGATGTATGACAAAACTTGTCTGTCTTACAAGCCAGTTGCCTGGATATATTCCATTGTTTCCAATGAAAAGTTAGGAAATTCTGAATAATAATTCACTAATCAAATCTTTAGCTATGGAGATAAACTCTTAGTACTAATTCTCTACATTTTAATATTTTGTTGCATTTTTATTTTAGGCAACATTGCTATATGAAGTTATATGGAATAATATGGAAACTTTGGACTGAATGACACTTACAATATCCTATTTAAATCAGAGCCAGATGTTTTAAAAAATATCTTGTACGTTAAAAAATGTTGTGGAATTTTATAATTTGAAGAAGATTAGTATTTGAATATATCTTGCATTTGAATGTGAAAAGCAGTTTTTTTGTTATTACTTTTGCCGATACTGAAATGCTTCCTTTTAATGTAGTGCTGTG